AGTGATTGGCCACGAGCATCCCGGCTCTCCGCCTCTGCTGCAGGGCTCGTCTCGAAAACGAGACATCAGGGTTGAGGTGTTGTTTCGGGTCTAGCATTGGGGTTAAGGGCTTGGGGTTTTAGGGTTTTAGGGTTTTAGGGTTTTAGGGTTTTAGGGTTTTAGGGTTTTAGGGTTTTAGGGTTTTAGGGTTTTAGGGTTTTAGGGTTTTAGGGTTTTAGGGTTTTAGGGTTTTAGGGTTTTAGGGGTTTAGGGGTTTTAGGGTTTTAGGGGTTTAGGGTTTTAGGGTTTTAGGGTTTTAGGGCTTTAGGGCTTTAGGGCTTTAGGGCTTTCGGGTTTTAGGGTTTTAGGGGGTTTTAGGGCTTTAGGGTTTTAGGGCTTTAGGGTTTTAGGGTTTTAGGGTTCAGTTGACGTCCAACACCAGAACTCACCTGGCAGTCTGCACTTTCACGCTCTCAAAACAAAGACGTGGGTTCAGGGCTGACGGGTCGCCGTAAGGGGTTCTGATACTAGGGAATGAGGGAATTTGGGAACCCCACAGGCTCCCAAAAAAGGCAAATCTAGGGGGGAAAGATGAAAGAAGGTACGTAATTCTCTCGTTGCCTGCGAAGAACCCATAAGCTGACGGGCTTTCGCGCTCATCGAGTACTTGCAGAAGACCATCCTCTATGTGAAGGACGGATTGGGGCACGCCGACTGGCCGGGAGGGTTGCATGCAGCCATTCCCGGTCACGGGCCGCACACGGCTCAACAGTGCGTTGAGAGGTTCAAGCGCAGTCTGAAGCAGATGCACCCGGCAGGGTATCACTTGTGGGCATGGAGCAGATCACGCCCCGCCTGGAAGCTTCGATGCGAGCCTTGAACATCCAGCACCACTACGTTGCGGAGACAATGGTCATCTACGTGCCACCGGATCCCACTGAGGTTTGAGTGCTCCCTAAAACCCTAAAACCCTAAAACCCTAAAGCCCTAAAGCCCTAAAGCCCAAAAACCCTAAAACCCTAAAACCCTAAAACCCTAAAACCCTAAAACCCTAAAACCCTAAAACCCTGAAACCTAAAACCCTAAAACCCTAAAACCCTAAAACCCTAAAACCCTAAAACCCTAAAACCCTAAAACCCTAAAACCCTAAAACCCTAAAACCCTAAAACCCTAAAACCCTAAAACCCTAAAACCCTAAAACCCTAAAACCCTAAAACCCTAAAACCCTAAAACCCTAAAACCCTAAAACCCTAAAACCCTAAAACCCTAAAACCCTAAAACCCTAAAACCCTAAACAAATGATGCGGGCGCTTTCTCGTTTAGTATTTTACCGCCCGTAATAATATAATGTTAAGGGAAGTGTGAATGAAGAGAGCGAAATGAACACGAAAACTTCTATTCTAAGGGCCCTCAATCATTAATGTTATTATAAGGGCCCAATATGCTATTATTATTATTATTATGGCGGGCGAAATGAAAGACAATATACGAACGCAGGAATGCTTTCATCGTGTTCCCTTGTAATAATGAAATTTACTGCGTTCATTATAATTCAGCTCATCCATCACGTGGGCACACCTTAATAATATCTTTGTGTCCCGTTCATTCGTTCACTCATGCATTTACCCGAAACCCTAACCCCGAAACCCCAGCCCCAAAGCCAAAACTTATGGTTTTTATAGGGATTGGGGATCAGTGGCCCCTTGCGCCCTGCGGCCCGCCACCCATAAGCCCAGGGTTTGGGTTCAGGTTTTAGGCTTTACGGCAGGGAATGAGGGAATTGGGTACCTTATTCTCCCAATCGTACCCTTGAACGGATAATTTGGGGGTACCTAGCTCCCTAAACCCTAAACCCTAAACCTAAACCCTAAACCGTAAACCCTAAACCCCAAACCCTAAACCCCCCTACTAAGAACCAGTCAGTTTAGGTTTGGTAAGGTTGGGGTGCCAGAACTTGGTTCCCAGGCGACGACGACGAGCAAGAGGAGGAGGAGCGCGGCGAGTGCGGTCATAGCGTGATGTCGAACTTGGTGCTCCTAAACCCTAAACCCTAAACCCTAAACCCTAAACCCTAAACCCTAAACCCTAAACCCTAAACCCTAAACCCTAAACCCTAAACCCTAAACCCTAAACCCTAAACCCTAAACCCTAAACCCTAAACCCTAAACCCTTAGTAGGGAACTAGACACAAGGATGCATAAGGTACCCTATCTCGCCCTTCAAGAGCCCAGCAAAGGCACCGAGTTACGAACCGGTGAGGCAAAAAAAACCCAAGCCTTGAAATCCAGGCCCTAAACCCGAAACCTAAAACAATAAACCCTACTTGAGCCCGAAACCCGAAGCCCTAATCGAGCCCTAAACCCTAAACCCTAAACCCTTAACCCCTAACCCCTAAACCCTAAACCCTAAACCTTAAACCCTAGACCTAACCCCTAAACCCTAAACCCTAAACCCTAAACCCGAAAACCCTAAGCCCTAAACCCTAAGCCCTAAACCTTAAACCCTAAGCCCTCTAAACCCTAAACCCTAAGCCCTACTGGAGAACTAAGCTTTGAGCCCTGGAGGATGATGAGATCTCGGAGGTGGAGGACTTCGGAGGCTGTAGCCCCAAGCTTGCGGGTTTAAGGGGCAACCCGGAAGGAAGAGTTTAGGGTTTGGGGTTTAGGGTTTAGGTTTAGGGTTTAGGGTTTAGGGCTTAGGGTTTAGGGCTTAGGGCTTAGGGCTTCGGGCTTAGGGCTTAGGGCTTAGGGTTTGGGCTTTTAGGGGTTCGGGCTAGGGCTTAGGGCTTAGGACCAACCCCCGCACTTCCCAGAGACTCCAATACACGTAGTTAAGGAATGGTGGGTTAGGGTTGGGGTTGGGATGTTCCTCCTTATACTAACAGTCCTTTGTAGGTATTGTACTAGGTGGTACTAGAAGCCCTCTTAAGGACAGTTAGTTCAAGGGGGAACATCCAAAGTTAGGGTTTTGTAGGGTTTGGAGCCCAAAGCCCCTTTGTGCAGGAATATTCCTTGAAGATCACATTCAGGTCCCTATTGTGCTTTACGGAATATTCCTGCGTGCTCGAGTCTCACCCTCAAACCCTAAACTTCAGATGATCCCCCTTTCCGATGGCCGTACTTTTGGTGAGTATCCTTAAGGAATTCTATCGTTGCACTGAGATGATTTGACCTGAGTTCTGGGGGGCCTCTACGGTACCTTGAAGAACCACGACACTGCATGTTAATAGGGACCTGGGTTTTGGGGATTCGCACCTTTCGATCGTGCCATAAATCTGGGGTATATGCAGCGTGCTCTTTTCTGGGGCGTGTCTAGGGACGCTAGTGGTGCCCTTCTTCCGACTGGGTCCCTTTGAATAGGGGGGGCCTGGTTCCTTTTGGGTTTAGGGTTCAGGGTTTGGTTCTTAGGTGGTTGGGGTCCAGATCATGGAGGCTGAGAAGGTCTTCGAGGTCAATGGCTGCCCTGTTGGATTGCTCTCCCCGTCCATAAGCTCTGGTCATCGTGGTTCCTAGTGAGGAGTTCCGGGAACCTGGGTCAAAGGGCTATACATGGGGCAGTTCTCCGAATTAAAGACCTTTATACTTGCTTTGAGTACCCTACATATAAGGCCCGGTACTAGAGAGCAGGAATCCCAAGATTGAGTACCCAAACGAAGAAGAGAACACGAAGCCCAGGGGATGCGCGGAAGATCCGCGAGCGCCTCTCCACCATGCCACTGTGGCTGTGGATGGAGGGCTTCGGGGAATAGGGTTTAGGGTCTAGGGTTTGGGGTTTAGGCTTTAGGGTTAGGGTTTAGGGTTTAGGGTTTAGGGTTTAGGGTTTAGGGTTTAGGGTTTAGGGTTTAGGGTTTAGGGTTTAGGGTTTAGCGTTTTAGGGTTTAGGGTTTAGGGTTTAGGGTTTAGGGTTTAGGGTTTAGGGTTTAGGGTTTAGGGTTTAGGGTTTAGGGTTTAGGGTTTAGGGTTTAGGATAACTTAGGGTTTAGGGTTTAGGGTTTTAGACCCCAAAACCCAAGTCCCAAAGAGTTGGTGGGCTTGGCCTTCGACTTCGTGGGTGTGGGGTCCGGGTCATGGGGCCCTTCTCGGGGTTGAGATAGGCCCTATATGCACTTGGCACAGTTCCCTCAACCGACATGCTTTAGCTCTTCAGGTTCGCAGATGTTTTGAGAGAGAAAAAACATGAAAAGCACTAAAAGCCTAAACGGATGGCTTGCCTTTCCCCCGGAAGCGGATGTGACGCACACCTCAGAGGCCCTAAGCCTGTCCCCTTACTGCATGGTGGAGCACGTTTGTTTCTTTCCTGCCCCCCTTGAAGCTGCCAGAAATCTTTCGGGCTGCGTTCAAGGACCTTCGACGTTGATGATCTAGGGTCGTAACAGCAAGCCTCGGCTGCGAGGTTCGAACACAACGACCTCATCAACAACCGGATGGCGGTGTTGACCAAGGCTTTCGCCGAGATACTGCAGTTTACCCTATACACTTTATGTACTCTCCCATACGTCCTCTAGCTTGTGAACCCCCATGAACCCCATAAACCCATAATTCCTATGAACCCCATGAACCCTCGGCCCTAATGAACCCTCTAACCCCTACTATCCATGAACCCGAAGCCAACAATACCCGTGTAAGGCCTACACGCCCCATATGCCCTACAAGCCCAACAAAAACCCTGTAGGCCTTGTAAACCCTCCAAGCCCTAGAAGCCCTAAACCCTAAAGAGAGGCACACGGCCGAAGCCGCCAATCGCCTCCTCCATAGCTTCTGAGCTATCCCTTCGGCTTCGGCTTCAGACTGTGGCTGAGGGAAAGACGGGGCTTAGGGTTTTGAGTGTAGAGGTTACCCTAAACTCTAAGCCCGAAACCCTAAAACCCCAAACCCCAAACCCTAAAACCCCAAACCCCAAACCCCAAACCCCAAACCCTAAACCCTAAACCCTAAGCCCCAAACCCTAAACTCCTTTGCCATGCAGGCCCAAGCTCAACAAGCCAGGGCTCCCAATTGTTTTGCAGAGCTTTTGGGTCTGACATGGCTCCGACGCTGCTCCAGCCGCCCGTGCGGGAGGTGCCCCAAATCCGTTTAGGGTTTAGGGTTTAGGGTTTAGGGTTTAGGGTTTAGGGTTGAGGGTTTACGGTTTAGGGTTTAGGGTTTAGGGTTTAGGGTTGAGGGTTTAGGGTTTAGGGCTTAGGGCTGTGGGGTTTGTTTTTCCTTTGTTGCACATGTTTGGGCCTGGGGGATGTAGGATATCGGGGATGTAAAGATACCTGGCTTCAAGGTTTAGGCGCTTAGGGGCCTTGAGAAGTTCGAGTCTGGGATGAGGGCAGCTTGGCATCCCGGTGCCCGTAAGTACGAGGGTTTAGGGTTTAGGGTGTAGGGTGTAGGGGTCAGGGTTTAGGGTTTAGGGTTTAGGGTTTAGGGTTTAGGGTTTAGGGTTTTTTGCCATGTTTCAGTAACCCCAAGCCCTACTTGGAGGTTCATGTGTAGCTCTCAGTGGGGTTATACGTATAGTTACCATACTTAGAACCCAAATTATCGCTAACCTCCAAGCAAGCCTGCAAGCCCTATACCCGAAATCCCGAAGCCCTTTAAACCCTAAACGTCACTGCACTTTTGTGTTGCTGCGTTCATGGTCCGGGGTATCTCTCCTTGGTGGCACTGAGGTTTTCCTCAACCCTAAACCCTAAACCCTAAATCCTAAACCCTAAACCCTAAACCCTAAACCCTAAACCCTAAACCCTAAACCCTAAACCCTAAACCCTAAACCCTCAACCCTCAACCCTAAACCCTAAAAACCCTAAACCCTAAAAACCCTAAACCCTAAAAAACCCTAAACCCTAAACCCTAAACCCTAAACCCTAAACCCTGAACCCTAAACCCTAAACTTAAGCGAGCTGCGGGCGCTGCGATAGCCAGCAGCGAGCGTGCAGGGGGCGACAGCCCCTGCCAGCTCCGGAGCATGCGCGACAGTCGCTGCGAAGGAGCTCCGTTGGCTGCACTGGCTCGGTGCCGGCGCACGCGACAGGCGTGCTGGATCTGCTAGAGAGATATGACCCCAAACCCTGGGCTCGTTCCTCCCGTACAATTGCTGAGCCTTTTTACCATTTCTGATGCCTTTTTGGGTCCTCCCGGACCATTTCTGAGCCTGAAGATTTTGTGGACCCTTCTGAGCCCCAGATCCCTTTCAAACCTTTTTTTGGGCCTTTCCCGGACCATTTCTGAGCTTTTTTGGGGCTTTTCCCAGACCAGTTCTCAGCTATCAAGTCCCCCAAATCCCAAAGCACTAACCTCGATCCGTGGCATAGCGCGGAATATTATCTATTTGAGAGGAGAGCCGACAACAAATAAATATGAAAACCCTAAACCCGACCAAGGTCATAAACTGGGTGGGTGGGTTGGGAAAGGACATGAACCTTGGCGCACACCACAACACACGCCCTGCGTGGTGGTGTGCGCGGAGCATGTGACACACCCTAAAACCCTAAACCCTAACCCGGTTTCGGGTTTAAGTGGTTTAGGGGCTGCTTGTACTTGCTTCGTCGCGCTGGTCGTCATGGCGAGTACCTACAGCACCGGAAAGAGACCTAAACCCTAAACCCTAAACCCTAAACCCTAAACCCTAAACCCTAAACCCTAAACCCTAAACCCTAAACCCTAAACCCTAAACCCTAAACCCTAAACCCTAAACCCTAAACCCTAAACCCTAAACCCTAAACCCTGAACCCTGAACCCTGAACCCTGAACCCTGAACCCTGAACCCTAAACCCTAAACCCTAAACCCTAAACCCTAAACCTTAAAACCTAAACCCAGGACCTACATGGAGGAGAAGTGTCGGACTCAATCGCCTCCTTCGCTTCCCTGCGCTCTCGCTCCACCGCCTCATCGGTGCGGAGCACCCGAGGCCCGCTGGAAGAGAGCTACGATCTCAAGGCGGGCTGGGTTTAGGGTTTAGGGTTTCGGGTCTCGGGTTTAGGGTTTAGGGTTCAGGGTTTAGGGTTTAGGTTTCGGGTTTCGGGTTTACGGTTTAGGATTTAGGGTTCTGGGTTTAGGGTTTAGAGTTTAGAGTTTTCTCCTAGAGTTCAGAGGCTTCAGAATGTTCATCGAGACATGCGGCGTCCTTCTCCGAGGGTCCGTTTAAGCCAATTCTGCCATATGCGCGGGGAGAACGGGACATTCTAACTGTTGTAACCTTCCCTTTGAGGCAGCTTCAGATAGTTCATGTTCACGCTACGCGACCCGCCTCGGTCAGGGCCGGGTGGTTGGGGGTCATGGGGTTGGGGGGTGGACGGAGGCGGGGATGGGTGTTGGGGTGCGGTGGGTCGTCTGCCTAATGTCCCCCTGGGCTTCCAAGCAAAAAAGAAGTTCCAAAATAACGGGTGCAGTCGGCCGTTGCGCAGGTGGGGTACCTGCTTGATGCTTTAAGTTGGCACCTGTATTCTGTGCGCAGGAGGGCATGCAGTCTCCTCCGTTTCTCTTTCAGAACCCCTCCCCCCCAAAAAAATTAGACAACAGAAAGGTCATAATCCCTAATGTTGCCCTCATGAGAATATTTTTTCGGGGGTTCTTACGCAATTGCTAACAATTGGGTAGTTCTCTTTGTTATATACGGTCCCCTTTTTGGGGTCCTTGTTATCAGGGTGCCGTAAAAACCCTAAACCCTAAACCCAACCTCCTAAACCTTAAACCCGAAACCCTAAACCCAAAACCCAAAACGCGAAACCCTAAACCCTAAACCCCAAACCCTAAACCCTAAACCCTAAACCCTAAACCCTAAACCCTAAACCCTAAACCAGAAACCCTAAACCCTAAACCCTAAACCCTAAACCCTAAACCCTAAACCCTAAACCCTAAACCCTAAACCCTAAACCCTAAACCCTAAACCCTAAACTTTTACTATACAGGGGACCCAACCCATACCACTGTCGAGGTCCCCCTCGGTGAAGGCCGCTTCGGGACAGTGCGCGAGGCGGCTCGGAGAACCATCAGGGTTTAGGGTTTAGGGTTTGGGGTTTAGGGTTCAGGGCTTTGGGGCCAGCTCCTCAAATTTAGGGCTTTAGGGTTTCAGGGTTTAGGGTTTAGGGCTTTGGGGTTTCAGGGTTTAGGGGTTTCAGGGTTTAGGGTTTGGGGTTTCAGGGTTTCAGGGTTTAGGGCTTTGGGGTTTCAGGGTTTAGGGTTTAGCGCTTTGGGGTTTCAGGGTTTAGGGTTTAGGGTTTGGGGTTTGGGGTTTGGGGTTTCAGGGTTTAGGGTTTAGGGCTTTGGGGTTTCAGGGTTTAGGGTTTAGGGCTTTGGGGTTTTCAGGGTGTAGGGTTTAGGGCTTTGGGGTTTCGGGGTGTAGGGTTTAGGGTTTAGGGTTAAGGGCTTTGGGGTTTCAGGATATTGCTTGGCGTCCCGGTTGGGCTCACTACAAGGTGCCTCCTAAAGAAGGGGCGGGTTTAGGGTTTGGGGTTTGGGGTTTGGGGTTTGGGGTTTGCTGGCACCCGAAAGACCCAGCTCTAGCCAGGTCGTTCGCAAGGGCAGCAAGGAGCGCTTTGCCGTGAAGGCAGGACTTAAGGGTTATCAGGCTCATCTGGGCTTCTCTATCCTAAACCCTAAACCCTAAACCCTAAACCCTAAACCCTAAACCCTAAACCCTAAACCCTAAACCCTAAACCCTAAACCCTAAACCCCAAACCCCAAACCCTAAACCCCAAACCCCAAACCCCAAACCCTAAACCCTAAACCCTAAACCCCAAACCCCAAACCCCAAACCCTAAACCCTACCTCTTGTTTGGCAATAAGGCCCCGCCTCCCAAGAGGGGTTTACGGTTTCGGGGTTTGGAGGACCTATACCATGCTTTCATCTCCGCTGAGCTGGGCAAGAAGGTTTTCTTCAAAGACGCCATCATGTGGGATGTTCCCCCTATGATAATTCTTATTAAGGACTGTTAGTATAAGCCGTCCTTAATACGGATGATAGTACCCCTTATTAAAGACGCCATCATGTGGGATGTTCCCCCTATTATAATCCCTATGAAGGACTGTTAGTCTAGCCTAACCAGTCCTTAATAAGGATGATAGTACCCCCCAGTCTAATCCCTATTAAGGGTTGTTAGTATAAGGGGGGGAACGTCCCAAGCCATCATGTAGGTGCATGGGCAAAAGAACTGGGTGCCAATTTGGTATCACTTCCAACTTCCCCCTCTTTAGGGTTTAGGGTTTAGGGTTTAGGGTATTTTGGAGGGGCTCAAAAAGCAGCCGCAGTATCGGACCATGCGTGAGGGACACCCTGAAGTCTAGACACCCGAAACCCTAAACTCCTAAAGGCCGAAAACCCTAAACCCCAAAATTTTGCAGCCCGAAAACCCTAAACTCCAAACCCCAAACCCCAAACCCTAAAACCCACACCCTAAACCCTAAACCCTAAACCCTAAACCCTAAACCCTAAACCCTAAACCCTAAACCCTGAACCCGAAACCCGAAACCCTAAACCCTAAACCCTTAACCCCCAAACCCTAAACCCCTAAACCCTAAACCCTAAACCCTAAACCCTACACCCTAAACCCTTAACCCTTCACTTGCCGTTGAGGTGATGGAGTCCGGGAAGGACAGCGAGTCGGAGTTTAAAGCCCTCGCCGAGCTCCACCACCCGAACATCGTGGAGCTCCACGAGGCTTCATGGGGCTCTTAAGGGAGGGTTTATGGTTTAGGGTTCAGGTGTTTAGGGGTTTAGGGGTTTAGGGTTTAGGTAGGGGTTTAGGGTTTAGGGTTTAGGGCTGCGATGGTTGGTGGGCTTAAGGCTTGGGGCTTCGGGCTTCGGGCTTCGGGCTTCGGGCTTAGGGCTTAGGCGTACGGCATAGGGCTTAGTTAGGGTTTAGGGTTTAGGGTTTAGGGTTTAGGGTCCAGGGTTTAGGGTTTCGGGTTTGGCGTTTGGGGTTTGGGAGTCTTGTTACTGTGTCTTGCGATCAACTCGTCATACTTTGCGCGGCAGACAGGAGGGAGAGGGAATGAATGGGCCCAAACAGCGGAATCCTAAACAGCAAGGCACAGGGCAATCATCGACTCCATTCAGAAGCCTGGACAGCTATCAAAATTATCCCCAATCCTTCCGCTCCAAGAATACCTGCTGCAGTATACACGGCCCAATCTAGCCATTCTTTTCGAATGGGCCCCTAGATCACACAATGCAAAACTCTAAGAATCTTGCAGGCGCGGGAGCACAATGGTACGGCCTACTTCATCATGGACCTCTGCAAAGGCAAAAGTGTTTCCGGAAAGCGCGAAACCGACAAGCCCCAAACCCTAAACCCTAAACCCTAATCCTAAACCCTAAACCCTAAACCCTAAACCCTAAAGCCTTACAGCCCGCAAGCCCTTTTTCCCCAAACCCGAAAACGCGAAAGACTCCGTACTGTCTCCTACTTGGAGGTTCATGGCACTGATTAACCAATTACACCTGTACTTATAGCCATAGTAGGGCACTTGAGGGGCTCATAAGTGGGTTATAAGTACAGCTACAATTGGTTAGTAAGTGCCATGAACCTCCAAGTAAACCAGCACCCCCCAAACCCCCCCCCCGCCCATAACATGCACGGAAAAGCACTAGTTGCTTAAGGATACATGCACCACAACTCTTCCTTTTATGGGGCAATATAGGGATAATTATCTTCAATTCTTTTTTAATTACAACTGTACTTATAGCCATAGTAGGGCACTTGAGGGGCTCATAAGTGGGTTATAAGTACAGCTACAATTGGTTAGTAAGTGCCATGAACCTCCAAGTAAACCAGCACCCCCCAAACCCCCCCCCCGCCCATAACATGCACGGAAAAGCACTAGTTGCTTAAGGATACATGCACCACAACTCTTCCTTTTATGGGGCAATATAGGGATAATTATCTTCAATTCTTTTTCGGGTTTCTTAAGCTAACCCTAAACCCTAAACCCTAAACCCTAAACCCTAAACCCTAAACCCTAAACCCTAAACCCTAAATCCTAAACCCTAAACCCTTCTTAAGCAAATAGTAGAGTTCGGAAGCCTGGTCTTGCGGAGGGGGGACTTTGATGCAGTGGATGCAAGACCGCTTCGAGAAGCACCTTGGGAAGGACCCGATCCCACCTTTAGGGTTTAGGGTTTAGGGTTTAGGGCCAGGGTTTAGGATTTACGGTTTAGGGCTTAGGGTTTCGGGTTTAGGGCTACGGTCTTGGCTCAAGACCTATTGAGGTGTGCTGTTTTTTTCTACCCAGGACAAGGACCCAGAGTAAGTTGAGTAGGCCCTTATTCCCTTTGTTGGAGTTGAGGCTCCCTTACTTGGAGGTTCACGGTACTTATTAACCAGTTTTAACTGTACTTGTAACTGTACTTTTCACTGCACTTAAAACTGTATTTGTAACTGTACTTGTAACCATATTAGGGCACTTAAGGGGCTTATGAGAGGGTTACAAGTACAGTTGCAATTGGATAGTAAATACCCCTAAACCCTAAACCCTAAACCCTAAACCCTAAACCCTAAACCCTAAACCCTAAACCCTAAACCCTAAACCCCATGAACCTCCAGGTACAGGCCCCCTTTAAGCCCAGAAGGGCACCCCTTTTTTCTTCCCAGGTGACTCTTGGGCCCCGGGCCTTGAAGCTTGGAGGTTCATGGGACTTAAAAACCACTTGTAACTGGGCTTATAACCCTACTTCTAATTGGGATAACCCTTATAAGGCCCTTTAGGGGTATTATAAGTAGGGTTATAAGTACAGTTATCATTGGTTAGTAAGTACCATGAACCTCCAATTGTAGGCCTGCCCTTCTTGCAAGACCCCTCTTAGTTTTGGCGTTCAGGGTGTAGGGCTTAGGGTTTTGGGGTTTAGGATGTCGGGTTTAGGGCTTAGGGCTTTAGGGTTTAGGATTTAGGGCTTAGGGCTTAGGTTTAGTTTTTTTTAAAGGCTCGTTCTTAGGCTCTGCTTGTGGCCAGGGGGCTTCCCTAAATCCTAAACCCTGGACCCTGAACCCTGGACCCTGAATCCTAAACCCTAAGTCCTAAACCCTAAATCCTATACCCTAATCCTAAACCCTAAATCCTAAACCCTAAACCCGAAAGCCCCCAGCAGACCGGGTTCAGAGCTTCTGTTCTTGGTTTCTTCTGTTGAGGGGGATTCAGGGTTGTTCGAACAACTTAACGCGGGAGGTTAGGGTTTAGGGTTTACGGTTTAGGGTTTAGGGTTTAGGGTTTAGGGGGTTAAGGGTTTAGGGTTTAGGGTTTAGGGTTTAGGGGGTTTAGGGGGTTTAGGGTTTAGAGTTTAGAGTTTAGGGTTTAGGGTTTAGGGTTTAGGGTGACACGCGGGGATGTACGGAACCGAATTTTGCCCCGAGCAACAAAGAGCTACTTCTAGGAAGTTGCTGTAGGGGTCGGATAATTGCTGATCATATTCCCTTATGGTCCCTCTCTAGCTATACTAAGTCATAGTCATAAGCCCCAAAACCTCTATTCTAATCTACTTATTACTTAGGGACACTTGGGAATCATATGTGATTTTGGGTACTAGAATTCCTAAGAAGCAGCCATGTTTTTTGGTTTTTGCTAGGGTTCCAAGTTCAGCATAGATTAAGGCGCCTATACTAGAGGGGTTTTGGAAGCCTCGGGCTTCCAGGCCTGTTGGTTCGACAGGAGCTGTATCAGCGCCCGTCTTCAAGGCAGCTGGGAAGGCTTCTCTGGCAAACGCTGGACGCCGTGCGCTACCTCCACTCCTCTTGCATCGTGCACCGGGACACTTGGTAACCCCAGTAGCACCCTCTACCCTTCTTTTTTTGGGGGGGGTTCTGGTTTCCCTTATAAAATAACCAACCCCTAAAAAAAGGTGCCCTTATTATAAGATGGCCTACTGGGCTACTAAGGACATAAAGCCTCAGAATATGCTTCTGGTCAAGGGGGGGCCAAATCCCCAGCTGAAGCTGGCGGACTTCAACTTGGCTACAGAGCTCCAAGGGGAGCCCTTGACGAAATGTTGCGGTACGCCAGGTTCCTAGGTGGGACTTTTGCTACAACTTTACGTCGCTTTATGAGTTTGGGGGGTTCCTCGATTTCTTTTATTTAGGGAGCTACAAGTCAAGCTTTTATATTGCGGGTTAAAGAGCAACCCAGGTTACATGGCACCCGAGGTGGTCACGGGGAAGTACTCGGAGCTCTGCGACATGTGGAGTGTCGGGGTCGTCTTCTACCAGATGGTGACAGGCCTGCGGCTCTGGAAGGATGTCGAGACCAAGGAGGATCAAGGGAACAAAAGGAGGGACCCTTGTAAGGGACCCCAAAAGGGGTTATTTGGGGGTTATTCGGGGTACCCTTCAGAGGATCACTTCAGTCAACTCCTGGCCGAAACGCCGCTGACTCTGCAGACCACGGCTGCTTGGAGCATCCATGGCGAGGGTGCGCGAGACCTGGCGCAAGAGATGCTGTTGCTGGAGTCGCAAGGGCGGTCTACGGCAGCAGGCGCGATGGAGCACGATTGGCTGCAGAAGCATGCGCTGGGGGCCGAGCAAGGGTGCTGCACAATCAGCTAAGGCCCTGGGTATTTTTCATGCTCATCCTCCCCATCGCTGGGGCCGAAGGCCCCCCATCCCAATGCCGAGATGCTACTGTAGCCGATGTCCTTGTGTAGCCTTCAAACCGTGAACCCCTAAGCCCCAGAAGAGCACTTGGTGGCTCATGGGTAGTTATATGAGTAAACCCTAAACCCTAAACCCTAGACCCTAGACCCTAGACCCTAGACCCTAGACCCTAGACCCTAAACCCTAGGGGAAAGAACTCAAAGCCTAAACGCGGGGAGATCAGGGTGCGGGTTCAAGTTGACAAGGGTTGCGGCGGGGATCGGACCACACAGCGGTTTCAGACTTGGGGTTTAGGGTTTAGGGTTTAGGGTTTCGGGTTTAGGGTTTAGGGTTCAGGGTTTAGGATTTAGCGTCGTGGCCCTGGTGATGTCGTGAGATCTCGGCGTCAGTTGGACATCGGGAGCCTCTTTTACTCCAGCTTGGTGCCCACGTGCACGAAAGAAGCCTCGCAACCTCGCAACCTCATCCTGATGAAGGTGCTGTCAGTTTTGGATCAGATTCGGAATATAGCGCGCCTGGAAGCATAGAACACATCCTTGCGAACACGAGGGTTGCAGCAGAGGCACCAGGCGATTTCCTTTTGCATGGTGGTACTAAGTCCAGCCTGCGTGCTCGGAGAGCATGCTACTAGGCCGTGTGTTTGCGCCTTCCGAGCGCTTGGAAGGAATTCGCCGCACGGCTATGCAGCACATGTGTGCAAGACCATACTAAGGACGTGCTGAAGAACATGGGTGGATGGATACTTGGGTCTGTCAGAACAAAAGCTAGAATGAGGGGTGAGGGGAAGTGTCGCGCGAAACGTTGCAGGCACTGCCACTGTATGTGTTGCAGTGCTCCGTTGCGCAGAGGCACTTCTTGATCTCTTACGATACGTCTTGTACTCACCTCGTGCTGCCCGTGCTGGATCCGGAGCAGGAATTCATACACCCTGTGTGGTGGAACATGAGGCCTTGTGAAACTGAACCGCAGGGAACCTGCTGTATAGCTGCTTTGTGTCTAGTCTCAAGATCATTGTCCCCAGGTGTAATGCCGGCCAGTCTACTTGGAGGTTTGAGGTTCATGTGCAATTGGCAGTAGGGTTAGAAGTACGGCAACCCCACTTAGAAGCCTATTCTGGGCACTTATACCACTCGTAATTTCCCGTGAGCCGCCAAGTAGAAGTCCAGCAAGGGGACGTTGACCTTGAGAAGCCTGTTCACGTAGCTTTCGCTGGGTGCAGCCTGGGACGTTTGTTTAGGGTTTAGGGTTTAGGGTTTAGGGTTTAGGGTTAGGGTTTAGGGTTTAGGGCTTCCAACCGTTGGCCATGGCGTAGCGTGGGAGTGGCAGGTGGTAGGTGTGGCCCCAAATAGTAGGATTACCTTATAGTAAGGACCCCCCTAAACCCTAAACCCAAAACCCTAAACCCTAAACTCTAAACCCTAAACCCGAAACCCTAAACTCTAAACCCCACTAAGGTACCCCGAATTTAGGAAACCCCATTTGGGGTTTACAGGTCTGATGAGTGAGATTTTTTTTGGGGGGTGGGTCTAGGGAATGCATGCTGGCATGCTGAGGACCTTGTTTTGGGTTTAGGGTTTAGGGTTTAGGGTTTAGGGTTTAGGGTTTAGGGTTTAGGGTTTAGGGTTTAGGGTTTAGGGTTTGGGGTAGAAAGCCCCTTCTGACCTGGATCCGTGCACACCATTCATCTCCTTAGGGTTTAGGGTTTAGGGTTTGGGGTTCAGGCTTTAGGGTTTAGGGTTTCATGGAGGAGGAGTTTTCAGAGAAAATGCCTCAGCTGCCCCAGCTTGACTCTCCGCTCAATGCCGAGGTCCGCCAGGGCCGAGTGTCGGCTCATCCCTAAACCCTAAACCCTATAAACCTTTAACCCTCAACCCTAAACCCTAAACCCTAAACCCCAAACCCTAACACCCTAAACCCTCAACCCCAAGCTCTCGAAGGCCGGTCTGTGCCTCATGACCCCCCCCCCCCCCGCCCCCCCCCCCCCCCGCCCCCCCCCGCCCCCCCCCCCCCCCCCCGCCCCCCCCGCCCCCCCGCCCCCCCCCGCCCCCCCCCCCCCCGCCAACCCCCCCCCCCCCCCCAAAAAAAAACAACAATACGGTTCACCCAACATTCTAACCCTAAACCCTAAACCCTAAACCCTAAACCCTAAACCCTAAACACTAAACCCTAAACCCTAAACCCTAAACCCCTAAACCCTAATCCCTAATCCCTAAACCCTAAACCCAAACCCCAAACCCGAAACCCGAAACCCGAAACCCTAAACCCTAAACCCTGAACCCTAAACCTAAACCCTTAACCCTAACCCTAAAGGTAGGCCCTTGGGACATTCTATGTTTTCCCTTACTTGGGTTCACGCTGATCATATTCAGGAATCTTTCTCGGCGGGTTTTCGGGGCCATCCTAGCATTCATCAGCAGTAAAAATCATTCATAACAATCATAGTATTACTAATGGCAAGTATAAAACGACAATAGCAATAATACTCATAATCGTCATAGTAGTAGTAATCATCACACTGTGAATAGGAATAGTAAAAGCAATAATGGTAAGGATCAACGCAATAATATGTAAAAGCAGCAGTAGTACTAGAAAAGACTAGTAATCATAAAGGCAGTAATGAAAACCATTGTAATAGAAGCCCTAAACCTTAAACCCTAAACCCTAAACCCTAAACCCTAAACCCTAAACCCTAAACCCTAAACCCTAATGACCCCAAGCCCGAAGCCGTTTCGGACCTCGTGTCGGACCCCCCCTGCCTGGAGGGCAGGACGCGCCTTCCCGCTTCGAGGTTCCTTTGGGTAGTTATAAGTAGGGTTTAGGGTTTACGGTTTAGGGTTTAGGGTTTGAACGTCTAGGGTTTAGGGTTTAGGGTCTAGGGTTTCGGGTCGTGATAAGTAGGGTTAGAAGTACCCCAAAACGGGTGACAGGTATAGTTGCCGTACTTATAAGCCTACTTATAACTACGCAGATGAGCTTCCAAGCAGGAGGTTCGGCGGAAGCACTCTTGCCATCAGGCCCCACCCAAGCTGTGAGAAGTGGACCCTCCACCCCTTCCCCCCTACCCCTCCTCCTGAATAGGGATTATAATAGGGGTACTTTCATCCCTATTAAGGACTGTTAGTATAAGGGGTAACATCCCAACTTAGAACCTCAAACCCTCCCAAAGTATCTAGACTTTTCAAAGTCTGGGTTTGGGGTTTAGGGTTCAGGGTTTCAGACGTCGAGTCTGGTACCGGTCACTTCACTATGTGGTTTCTTTGGTTTCTTTGGTTTCTGAGGGTAGGCATTTGGAATAGGCTTTGTTGTTCGTCATTTTTTTGGTTTAGGGTTTTGGTTTCCTTTTGTGGGGCTGATCTAAACAGTAGACGTTGCTAGGGGTTCTCAAACAAGGGCCCCTGAATTTTGATACCCTTCTCCTCCCAACATAGCGAAATTATGGAACCTTTGTTCATCGACATTTTTGGGGCATGTTTGACCGGTGTACCTGTTCTTGTTTGCTATTATTATGATTATAATTATATTTTTTTCTGGGGGGGGGGGGGGGGGTGGCAGCGTCTTGAGTTAGCGCCACAGAGGCGGATTTCTCTTCACCCTAGACCTAGGTCCTGTCTTGGGGTTCAGAGTTGCGAAGTCCACTTTGCCTTCACCCTAAACCCTAAACCCTAAACCCTAAACAACCCTAAACCCTAAATAAACCCAAAACCCTAAACCCTAAACCCTAAACCCTAAACCCCAAACACTAAACCCTAAACCCTAGAGGTCCACTTTGCCTACTTGGCTTGTGCGGCTTTACCGAACAGTCGCATCTGCTTCTTGCCACTTTGGTGCGTGAAGCGGCTCACTTGAGGGCGTCTGTTGCAAAGCTTTTTAAAGCAGCGCTTAGCTGGCGTGCACAGAGACGCCAATACGCCTCGATCAAGGAATATTCCTTAAACCATACAAGGAACCTTCTTACATATTTAAGAATATTCCGATATATGTATGTATGTATAGATAGATAAATAGGTATATATATATATATATTATGAGTCCCTGGCCTGAGGTGCTAAGCGCATTTAAACCGGCGTTTGTTCGGCTTTTGCCTCTGGTCCCGTTGTGTGGCTTTTCGTGGTGCCTCGCTAGGAGGTTCATGCGCGGTTGTAAGTAGGGCTAAACCCTAAACCCTAAACCCTAAACCCGAAACCTTAGACCCTAAACCCTAAACCCTAAATCCTAAACCCTAAACCCTAAACCCAGACCCTAAACCCTAAACCCTAAACCCTAAACCCTAAACCCTAAACCCGAAACCCTAAACCCTACACCCTAAACCCGAAACCCTAAACCCGAAACCCTAAACCCGAAACCCTAAACCCGAAACCCTAGATCCGAAACCCTAAACCTCCTGTTTTGGGTGCCCCAAGTCGGTCACTGTGGGTGGGCCCTTTCTTTGGGGCCCTGCTGAACAGTAAGTTCCTTCTATTGGGGCCTCCGAGATTTGGGATACCTTTTTGGGGTCCTCAAAATGGAATCCTACTATTTGGGGACCTATACTTGGGGACCCCCAGTATAGACCCCAAATAGTAGGATCGCCCTTACAGTAAGGACCCCAAGAAGGTACCCCCTAAATTCGGAAACCCCCAAATCGTAAATTCCATTTCTGGTGAGCTTTGGGTGCCCTACATCAGAGGGGCCCCAAAAGGGACCATAAACCTTAAACCTTAAACCCTGAACCCTAAACGCTAGGACCCTAGACCCTAGACCCTAAGCCCATACATTTGGACTCGCAAGTCTCTTGGTCCCTACCCTGTGAAACTTGCACTTTCAGGAGGTTTGGGACTTAGAGTCCAAGGACTGTGGGAAGGATAGCGTGTCTATGGGTATGGCAAGCTGGCTCTCAACTTACCCTAAGCCCTCGGCTTAGTGCCTGCAGAATGTTGACTTAAGCTTCTTGAGCTCCCCAAGGCTTGGGTGTT